TTATGTTATGGAATAAAAAAAACCGTCTTATGAGAAGACTCTCTTTTCCATGGACAAATAAATATGCTCTTTTTTTAGATCAGATTGCGAGGATAACCTGCACATACTTATAACACAGGGAGAAATAAACAAAAATATGGTTTGCAATGAAGTATTGAAGTTTCCCTTGGATATTTTAAAACACCTTTAAAACTTACTTTAAATATAAAGCAATCAAATTCTCTTAAGCCTATATATATTTTTTTTAATAATTGGATATTTCGCTTTTCTATATAAATTTCAGATATTATTTGGTTAATCAGTGGTAGTTGTAATGGTCCTTTAGCAATTACATGAGGTATGTAAGTTAGGATGAAAATAGTTTTATTACTATATTTAATGAATCAATAATTATATCAATGTGTTTTTGATATTCGAATGTGATTATTTAATCATATTGAAATTTAATTTATTTATTATTATTGAATATCATTAATAATTATTAATGATCTATAAAGCACTTCAGATAACTTCAACACTTATTTTTTTTTACTATGTTTAAATAAAAAACTTATACATTTTAACTGTAGGTTAGGTATTTTTCGATGATTCAAATCAAAAACTTTGAAAGTCTCTCATGTAAAAGTTTTTTTTTTTTTTTTTAAATTCTACGTTTCGCCAACCTTGCAAAAATACTCTTATGTTAATTACAGTTTCTTAAAAAATTAAAAAAGGCTTCAGTATGAAATAGTGACGGATATTTCATTAATCAAGAAGTTGGTTCCTATGCTATAATTAATTTAACTCCACATAATATCAACAATTAAATAATACTGTAGTAATAATTATAAAGTATTTATTTATTTGAGCAAATATATAAGTTTGGGAAGCAAATAAGTTTTACAATGAGCAAATCCGTGAATATTACATATACGACAGAGAATAGCATAAATAAATTATTACCAATCTCAGATCTAATCAGACAGCTTTGTGTGTACACAATTTTATGAAATTGATTGATAGTAATAATAAAGTTCATAAAATTGTGTACATACAAAGCTGGCTGATTAGATCTGAGAGTGGTAATGATTTTTTTTTTTTTTTTATGGCTTGATTATAGTAAATTAAATTAATGGAGTGCAACAACTTATAAATTAATTTCGTCATGTTTTTAACCAAGAATGTAAGTTAGTTGAAATATATATATACATGTCATGAATATCCTCAACTTTCTTGTGGGGGTGTATTATGTTACAATCTTCTTTATTTATTTTCAATGTTATTTATCATTAAATTGATGCCGTGAACGATGATTAAATTCATTCTGCCATAGTTTGCAATATTATTCATATTACGAGAAAAGTAGGTGGCCATTTGAAAACTTGCTAAGAATTGTGTAAACAATGACCGTCAAAAGTGCCCCCAGTAGTACGTGACCACGTTCGAGGCGTTAGTTATCTTTCCTTTTTTCAAAGTCAGCCAGAAAAATATCCAACTAAATCTGCTGACAGCAATGTTGAGGAATGTGTCTGCCCGCCCCATGGGGTTCTACCAGTTCCCTAGTATAAGAACATTCTTCGAAACAACTTACTCATATTTTTTTTAGCGTGGCTCTAATAATTTATAACTAAAATGTTAGCTCCAATCCATGACGAAGCTCGAGATGAGAAAAATTTGGAGAAAAACAAGATTTTTTAATTTTCACAGTATTTAATCAACTTCAACTTCTTTTTGACTTTATTTTTTGAGGAACCTCGATAGCCTACTTTTCAAAAACCTGTTCCTTTGTAAGTCCAGATCCTGACTCTTATCCTGGCCTTCCTGAAAACCATTTTCGATTTAATGGTATTACGAAGAGTACGACATCTATTTTCAGTAAGCGTCATTTTCGATGATTTAAGCATATAGTTGTTGTATATTCGTCACAATGAATAAAACATGATATTTTTTTCTATTTTTAACTATGTTTCAATTCATTTTATAGTCATCATAGTGGTTACTAGGAACGAGTGCTGATTAGGTGTTTATGAAAACAAAAATTATAAACTAACTACAATTTAAACATAAATGGACATTCTTTCTTGATTTCTAATTACAATTATACATAATATTGATTAAATAAAATAACATATCCTCTAGGCGAGTATTTGACCTGACGATTACAGAAAATGATCGAAGAAAGAAGACAACCTTAAACAATTACCTTTTTTTTTGAAAATATTTCCTTCAAGACTTCTCTTCATGCCCCAATATGGATTATGACTTATTTTCGATTCTGTCCATGATACCAACAAATCATAGAGTCGTTGAGAACAAATAATATACTCAGTAAAAAAAAAAAAAAAAATGTTATATAAATATTTTTTATTCATCCTGTTTGTTTTCAAAATATTTAAGTCAACAAAAAAAAATCTAAAAAAAAGTGAAGAGTTGCGGGTCGAATAAAACCTAATTCATAAAAAAAGAAGATAGCAAGGATTAACTGTCTGGGCCTTGTCATTTTTACTAATTTGTCCTGAAACTGGCGGGACCATATTCATTAATATCATCTCGTCTATCGTTCTGGGCCTAAAAATAAATTACGGGGAAAAGGTCTGATTCTTGGCAGCTTCAGCTATTGGGATCGGATACACACATACCAGCCGAAAACAAACCTAATTGCAAGTGAAAGAATGCACCTAACAGCGCTACAATACAACTTTTGTATTCCTGTAAATAAAAAGTTTAAAAATAAAATACATTCTGCTAATAATCTGTTTCTACTTTGAGTCAATGTTAAGAATATTTCTAACCAATGGGATGACTATTCGATAATAGATCAGATATTATTTATAATTCTTTGTTATATTCAGTCTGTTTTATAATTTTAAGAAATAAGACCCCCTTTTTTTCCGACTTGTTCTCATTCATTTTTAACTGTTATCTGACTTAAATTGTGGTGAAATTCCTCTGAACATTGTTCGTACTTCGAATCCATTTTACCGTGATTTGATAGCTCAAGGAAGTAAATCTATCTCGAGGACGCAGTGAGGAAGTAGTAAAACTTACTTACTGTATTTAACGACAGCATAAAGTTGATGATTGTGTAATTAAAGTGGGTATAAAACATTATATGACCATGAATGTCGTAATTAACTTAGCCATTCATTTGGTTGACTTTGTATTTCGACACCAGTGGCAGTCCGCTCACATGACTCATGTCTGATGTCAGCTCCTTAGGTCCTGCTGCATAAACATAAATTGCCTAATATACTGACATCACGTTAGGGAATGAGTTGGTAAAAAAAAAAATGATATCAACATCTTAGGACTGAATTCGATTATTCATAGTGCTCTTCGCCAAGGAATAGTTTAATTATATGCCGAACATTTTGTAAATGCCCTCATGTTTGATGGTTTCAACTTTGCGTTATACCGGAATATCTATTTTTATTTTACATTTATTATAAGAGACAGAAAAAAAAATCTATCCAAAAATAATTTTCTGTTTTTCTTTTCAGGTAATGACTGCTCCTTAGTTGATTATGAGTTTGCTGAAGCTGAGGTATTTGTTTAATTATTAATTTTCACTAACGTTTTATTATGTTTATGAATCAGAGGTGTAACTACTCATGTGATTTTATAATATACAATATAGATTTTATAATGATGTAGAGATGGTTGACCGTTGATATAATATGAGAAAGAGTTAATTGGGAGGTGCGGTCAAATAAATACTAAATTAAAATATATTACGATTTTAACTAAATTGTCACCCACTATATCTCTGATATCATCTTTTTATTTCTGTATCTGACAACTTCTTCTTATCTTATATCTATTTATATTTATTTTTTATTTTCCAATTGTTTTGTATCTTTTGTAGCCCTGAAGACGACCTGCAAAGTGGGTCGAAACGTCGGCAAAAATTAAATAATTACTATATTTTAATTTAGTAATTATTTGACCGCACCCCCCTATTAACTCTTTCTCATAATATAGATTTTAAGTTACGATTAAGTGGAAATATAAATACTGCCATAAATTTTAAAGGGAAAATTAAGTATTCCTCCAGTTTTATCATTGGGCTATTGTGGCAATATTACTAGACTTCTTATGCAATTAGAACACATCGACAACCGAAATATTGGAGCCTTTGAACTAAACTATTCAGGTCTTCGTTCCTGCAAAAAAAGATTATATTGTTTTGTCAAATAAAACAGTTCTAGGTGATTCATTCGAGTTGTTGTTTCATGGAGTTGGCGAAGGAACACAGTCTAAGTTCAAGGTAAGCCTCTGCTACTTTCGATCCTCTGTACGAATTCCTGATATAAAACTAGGACGCAACCGTGGTCTGTTCTCAGTGGATCGAACCTCCAATACCTTTATAGGACTCTTCGTTCATGCGGATGACATGACCAAACCAATTGAGTTGGTTGGTAACTGAACCTTGGCTAATTCATTTTTTATTTCTTTTCTTGGGACTGAATGAGACCAAGAAGTGCCAGATATAGATTTTTGCTCTTGTCTCAGGCTTTTTCGGCAATGTTCTTTAGAACAATCTACATATTTAGAGGTTGTAAGATCGCTTTTACTTCTAAAAATATATAGTGTAATGATAACATATCTATAAAATAATGATAACCATTAGGATTCCTGAAAAAATCATAAGGAACCGTAATGGACGAAGGCGAAAGGTTTAATTTAGCATTATCTTTAAGGTTAATATTGCGATTGAAAATATACGAACATCTGAATGCTATTTCAACCCTTACCGAACTTATTATTATTATGTAATTATTAATTTGATGGTGTGGATAAACTTTTCAGTTTCAAGAATTTTTTTCTAAACATTTGCATAGTGTTAAAACAATAAGGAAATCGGGTAGTACTTCGGTATTGTAATTAGTATAATGAATCGTTCATCCGAACAACAATCTTTGTTAAACCGATTTTTTCATGTTTCCGCGTTGGACCATAAAATCTCTATTTTTTTTTAAATCTTTTATTTTTCACATTTATGTTTTCAAAATATTATTGTTTTATTTTATAACGGCAGGTGGTACAATAGCGAAGGGTTGCGTGGTGAGGGAGAAGCGGTGAAGATGGATCGTGGTGATAAGATAGGACTGGTTTGGTGTAGGCTGTTTACAGAATGGCCGTAGCAGGAAATAGAGACAGATATTTCCCCCATTCCAGGGAGATATAAGATTGTACACTAATGGGATGGGAGACAGTTGGCAGACATGGATATGTATCAGACCAAGCATTAAAGATATCGGCGAGGGTTGCCCCCCCCCCCCCTCTTTCTGACTCATGGCAGAGCCAGAACGCCACCACCCACGGACCGCTCTAGCTCCCCGGAGATCAATGGAAGGAGCAACCCAGTGCTCTTGTCCCAGCGGGAGGCTGTCGCGGCTTAAATGGACGGCTATTCTTTTATGTATTCACACTACAATGGGAGAAGTCGAGGGGGGCATCAAAAGGCCTAGGCTAACATAGGAGTTATTGAACCTTGATCCAAACAACTCTACTAATTCGAATCTTTCAGTCGGTTTTATTCTAGAATGAGCTGGTTCTACGATTTATGGATTGCTTTACTATTACTAACTACTAGTGAGAAAATATTTATATCAGTATGGCTTACTAAGTTGCGAATCTAAAGCAGTTTTACACCGTATACAAAGCCAGCGATAGTAAATGAAAAAGCATTGAGAAACCCATCTGTAGTCATGTGTCAGCCACTTTATAAATTTCGTGATGAATAAATCATGTGATTTTGCAGTTATTATATCCTAAACTGGCTAAATTTCCTTTTCCCCATGCTGTTTAAAATCCACCTTACTTTCTACTCACCTTACTTTGATGCTCAGATATATTCCTTTCAGCTCCTGTTTTTTTTAATTATCTGTTTATTTTTATGTATTCCCTATATTTAGGACCCTAATGTGGTTTGGTACTATATAAAATACCTTTCTTTCATGGTCAGGTGTATTCCTCTCAACGCTTCTTTTATGTAATTATCTATTTATTTTTTTATATTCTCTATATTTAGGACATTTAAGTGATTTGGTTCTATATAAAATAAACCATGACATCTGGAGATGCCATTGGCAGCCAAAAACAATATTGTTATCCTTTTTCATCAGAGATTCCATGAGAAGTTGAATCTTGAACAAAAGATAAAAGGAATTTCATTCTTAGAGTTATCAAAAATGTATAAATAATATTTTTTTCTTGCATAAAAGTTGTGCCGAATTAAGTGATTCTTTCCAGCCTATATCTTATAAGAAGGTTATCGGTGTAGCAGATATAACAACCTTTTTTAGCAGTTTAGTAAAAGTATTAATAATTGCTTTTACATTTTTCAATAAATCTTGTGGTTTCTCTGAATACTTTGTTAATTATTATACAATTCATATTTTTGGACAATAGGGAATTGAAAAAAGGTGCTTTCTCACTATATATAACATAAAGGATGTTTTTTCTATTTGTAGCACTTTTTAATTCATGGAACATTATCTATTTTTTAAGTTTGAATTTTGAATTTTACTGTATTATTATTCTTTAGTATAAATATATTGTTTTAACTTCCTAGTTTTATTTCATCGGAGATATCTTTCCTGCTTTTGTATCTATGTTTGGCAACCCTTTCATTCATAAATCGAATAGAGGTCAATATCCAAAAGTTATCACTAACGGAAGTTGATAACTAATCAGATTTAAACTGTCCTTCCTGCTAACTAATTTGTACATTCCATTGTACATCCCGAATTTTCGAGTGATTATCCTATAGATGAATTTATATAGATATTTGAATATATGGATATATACATTTGAATTTTTTCTTTTTTATTCTTACCCACTTATAGTTGAGTATAATGAATAGTTTTACATAGTATGGAATGTTTAGGCCCGTCTGAATCAGGTATGAAAAACATTCTAGAAAAAAAGCCTTGTTGTAAATTAAAAAGATTGTTTTCGTCGATATAGCAAAACTTTCGATATACATATATGCACATATTACCAATAATATTTATATTCCTTAGCCTATTTAAATTTGTTTGACTATAATGATAAAGCTCCCGTAATCGTGTGTAAAATTATCCTTTATTGTAATTTTGTAAAAAAAGAAAAACTTATAATCATCCTTTTCTTGATCTTCCCTCTTCTATCGCAGCACAGTGTGAGGTCTCTTTCGATAGAGCTTAATCCTTATAGCTTATAATATAATGATAAGTATATATATACATATATATATATATATATATATATATATATAAAAATATAAATATTTTTATTTTATCGTTTGATTTTGAAAACTTGTCCTTTATTAAAATTAATTCTCCTCTCTAGCAAAATTTTAATTGTAATTTTGTTTATTTTGTTAGTTTATTAGTTTATTTTGTAAATTTGTTCTAAAATTTACTTAATTTGTTCCATAAAATATAACTTCATCTTTCCTATTCTCATTGTGTTTAATTAATTAATAAATTAAGGCTATTGACATCTTCACCATCACTTTAAATCCTTTAAATTAGTTACAAATGACATATGTACAATACATTCTTATAATCAAATAAATTTAGATTGGTTAATGAACTTATTACTTACATGCTCTTTAAAGTTGAAGACCGTTAATTTTTATTAGATATTTCTTATGATTAGAACCTTGTTTGAAATGACTGAAAATTATATGAGACCATACAACCATACAACTTTTTATAGTGATATTCAACACATATGCTGATTCTGATACAAAAGTATCTTTAGTGCAATGGAAGTAAAATATGACACTGCTATTACCAATATTGCAGTAACTACCCGCCAATATAGTTGCAAGTCACTAAGATTGGTTACGTTCCTAATCTCAGCACTGATCTGTTCTAAACTGGACAAATCAATGCCATCTATGAGCTCAGCCCTGAGTTTAGGAACGTGCCCCGTTTTGTATGTGTATGCACCGGCGCACAGTAGTCTGAGAGCGGCAAAACCCCATTTTTAAGGTGTTATGATAATTCAAATGTCTATGTTTTTATTGCCTGGCATAGTTAACTCATATATTTAGGCACAAATAAAAATACCAGTTCCCTAGATATTAAATAAAATATAAATAAAAAGTCTGTTTCTGCCACATTAATCATACATACATTGTTATAAATCATTCAATATATTTTAGGCGTTTTTTGCTGAAATTTCATAAGATATTTTGTTATGTAAAACGTTGAAATGAGTCAATTAAGCTCTTAAATGAGTCATTTCTTAATAAATTTAAAAAAAAATCGTATTTTCATAGGATAAGTTATAACTAAACGGATCTTTGAATTTCGTTTTTCTATTGGAAAGTATCTTGCGCCAACAACCGCCAAGGAGTCATTGTAATCATAATGTTTTTTTAACCCTCTGGTTATGATGAATACAAAAATCAGCTACATTAATATGAGGTTTTTGTAATTCTGTGGAAAATTCAATCAACAAAACTATTCCAAAAACGAGCAAGAAAAAATTTCTACGTGTATCTAAATAAATTTGTATCTTTCGTATATTTTCGTCACAGAAAACGAGAGGAAAAGTAAAGAAACAAAAAAATTGAAAGAAAATGCAAAGGCAAAGATTGAAGAAAAAATTAAACTATTTTGTAGCTCACAATTGATACTGGGGTATTGTTTTCAGCTCACTACGAGATATTTGGTTTTATCTTCATTTATTTGTAGGTTAATTTGTTCTCTTTCTGTTATCACTATCTTATGTCCTTTTGATTGTAATATAGGTAACAGATATTTATAATATATTCGTTCAATAACATTATACATTTTTTTATTTTTACTACATATTACATGCAAAATATATTTTATTTATTAGTAAAAAACATAGCAACAATAATAACGGCTAGTCTTACCAAATCGTACCTCCTTAAATTCTATTTACGGTCAACAAAATCCACAACGTTTTAGTATTAATATTTCATATGTCCCAACGACCCACGTGTGTACGTGATTAGGTGTACTAAATGATTAAATTTATTTTTAAAATTTCCCGAAATCGGACTGATAAGTGACAGGGACCAGTCAGCCACAGAAAACAGAATTTTTTCCTTATCTTTTTTTAAGAGCTGTTGTTTCCGTTGATAAAAACTAATAGGCCAATCAATCAATAACAATTTTATCTGTAATAGTTCGTTTATCATTAGCAACTTCATTGATTAATTACTTTTATTGTTTTAGTGCTTACTCCGAAGCATGAGTAATTCTTTTTGATGGACTATATTACATACCACGCTTGAGGTGATGTTTTGTTTATTTGAAAAGTTCATCGACGCCCCTGTGACATTAGGTTAGGAAAGCTATCAAGCGAATGAAGCGCGAAACGTAGTGAAGTAATTCAGACCAATCGGATTCGAATCACTTTGCAATATCTGAATTGAAAGGAGAAAGCGTTTCAGAAGGTAATGCTTTTTCTGTGGAATCCTCCTTAGCCTTGTTTAGGCGGAAATTATGTGAATCGGTAAGAATATAGTAATATAGAGTTTGCAAAGATGCATATCTGACATCCCTCCTTTAGTTGACTGGAACATGTTCCATCGCCAATAGTTTGGGAAAACTTGCAATTATCAGAACGCTAACTGATTAAAATGTTTTGTACCAGAAAAGAGGATTATGGTGTGTAATCACTGTTCTGATAATGACAACTACGGGCCACTCTAATCCATGTAAAGAAATTTTTATGGTAGTTAAACGAATGTAAAAAAAGAAAGGAAGTAGAGAGAGTTCCTAAATTAATATACTTTCTATGATAGTTTAAATGAAAAACTAGGTGTGTAAACGCTTGTATGATACTAACTTTACCTTATTAAAATATGCTTTTAACTACAAATGGTGTCTCTAAGGATATATGTATTAAAAAAAAAAAGTTTTACTATTTTGAAAAACCTTCTAGATAGTATCTAAATAAACACAATGCTTTTACTTTGTTAAAAATATTTACTGATTTTTTTAAAGGTTGTACGGAGATTTTCACCGGCCAGGAAAGAATTTGAGGGAGATAATGCTAGAGTTGAAAGCCTCCCCGTCACCAGGACGCGAACTCGTAAATATTTAATCGTATAAACTTCGGTTTATCTGATTGCCGGGCAACGCGCGTTGAGTACACGCGTTTTAGCCCACTCGACCACCCTGTCTTCTATATATTTAGTAATTTATGGTCTTGGCAGCCTCCTTCTTAGTATTTGGACCATTGAATCATTCAGTTAGGTACCGCAGTGTATACTGAAAAATTACGATCCCAGTGTAAATAAAATTATTCCCACATTTATCCATTCTCAAATTAAAATTTCAAGTAATGTAATAAAGTGAATCTTAAAATATCTATAATCTATTATTCATGACTACTAATATAAGAGGATCATATTAATCGAACCCATGCACGCTTTGAATCCTGCCTAATCTTCTGAACCCGTCGAGGTTCAATTGGAACCTATCTTTGGTAATTCGTTCTGAATAGGCTCTTCCTAAAGAATGAATGACCGATTATCAGTCTTTTCCAAGGTCAGATAACTCATTCTTAAAATTGGGCTATCATTCATATTTTATAGCATTTTTTTTTTAAAACCATTGTTCCAACATTGAATCATTTAGTTATTTTTCACGTGTGTCCTAAATATTTGTGTAATATCAGAGAAAATATGTAGAAGTTATAATTTGACAAATTTTTTTATCTCTTATCTTATGAACGTAGTGGTAGAATTTGATATTTCTAAAGCTTACTTCTCTTTCATATTACATATATATATTAACATCTAAAAATAAATTTAAGATATAAATTTTTTGTCTGAAAAATATGATATAATATTTCACTCCCTGAAATATGAAAAATAAAGAAACTATTCAATTGTAGCACTCCACTTTATTTTAGTCACCAAGTTTCCTGTATATGTTAGAAGATCGAGGTCATCTTTTTAGATGCCATAGAGGATTTTGAGAATCGATTTGGAAATAAGATTGGAAACTAGTGGGTCTGTTTGGGTTAGGAGTTTATAATGGAAGAATAGATATCATATGGGAGTTTAATAATTACCTTATACCGTATCAGTACTGTATACCATAATTTATTGGTTACTCACTAATTAGCATTGAAAATTTCTAGCTGAATTTTATATATATAAAGTTCGTAAAGTAAATATATATATATAGTTCGTAAGAAAATGATAGGAGAACTGTTCGATGATTGAAAGTATGTCTAGTTGATCCTCACACTTCACTATTTAATACTCGATAGCAAAGGTATCCATGACAGATAATGGAGCTCAAGTGGTGATCATGTAATATTTTTGATGTGTAGAATGTGTTCCAAAATATGTTTATATATAATAAGTGTTGCCGATAATGGATTTATAATTTTAAAATAAAAAGGGATATGCCCTCCTCACGTGCCTCGAAACACAAATTACTGTAAGTTACAATGCATTGATGTTTAACTAACCCTGTGATCCAAAAATGGAGACTAGCATTGTAATAAATTTTATTTGCCAAAACTTCTACCTGGCTAACTGTTTATCATTAATTAAGGGACAGCAAGCAGATATATCCCTTCCGGTTATCGCAGGACATACAGCTGCTGCCATTATTGGCTCATCAATTCTGTAGTTAAATTTAAAACTGCCACTGAGTCAGGCGTCACTGGGAGCCTAAACACAATATGAGGAAGCTGTTAGTTGAAAACCAATCCTACACTATTTCAGGAAATAGTCATTTATCAGGCCTCATCTCTTTCGAGAGGGCTTAATTCGAACTTTATTTTTATAGTTTGTAATTTATTTCGTTTATGCATTTTCAATGACAAATGTCCAGATTTTATAGACAACATAGAGCAGTGAATAGAAAGGTTATTTCTTCAAGCTAACTGATCCTCTCCAAACTCCTCAAATATTTTTAAGTTTTCGTGAAATTAAATATTCCAACTTTCAAGTACATTTGTTTAAATAAATAAAGAGAATAGTGATGGTTTCATCCAATCCAAAACTTCTAAAAAAAAAAGAGATTTTGTGAAGGAATTCATTCCGTGACTTGAATAAGTGGCCTTTGTGCCCTATTAGTTTTCGATGCGGGGGGTTTATCCTCTTTTCATCACCTTACACTTACTGCCTTTAATCCCTTCAGGGCTCCTCATTTGCATACTGCTTTCCAGCTGAAGGCTCTTCAACATGATAGCTGCTCTAAATCGTCCTCTTCCAAGAGGAAAACCCTTAAAAATACTGCCTAAGCATTAATTTACCGCATTTCTTGTTTTAGAATTTTCACTCTAAATCCTTTATAAATGAATTAATTGAAGCAATTTTTGTATAAATAATAAACCCTAGTTACTTGGCATCTGTAAAACTTATTTTTTGGTTCACAAATTATATTTACCTGCGATGACTGGACAAATCTCTTCAAAATTTGCGCCTTCCTCTCGATATTTAACAGGTTAGTTTTAATATCTTAATTTATTTTGTATTACCGTTGCATTTTAATTTTATTAAACTATTATTTATTTATTTATTCGTTTTTATTGTTGGAGGGTCATTGGCAACACTTCCTATTCATACTCAGTTGTAGAATTTTATAATTTTTAAAAATTGCAAGGTTATGTCCTCGGCAAGTTTTTTCTATTAATACACTTTCGTTTACTACACTTCTATAATATTCATCTCTATAACATATTACCCCTTTTAGCCTTAAAAAAGTAATTTTAGGGATGAAACGTTTCATCATTAATTAAATATCTTTGATTATTTCCTAAATCAATTTTACCCGCCATTACACCATTAACTGCGGTTAACTGTGAGTGTTATAAGGTTAAATTCTCAAAGATTCTTCATTAATGAGCAACAGTGGGTCCGAGATTCTGACGTAAATAAAGTGTGAAGAATTTCCATTCAAAGTAAATAAGAGAGCTTAAAAAGAAATTGCTTATAGTAAATCGAATTGTAAATAAATATGCATGTTATGAAAATAGATCTATGTTTTCGTTAAATACTTACCTGAACTCATAGATATTCTTATTCTGTTGTTACGTTAAATAACATTATTATTGGAGGAAGAGAAGAGGAAGGGTATAGCCGAAATTTATTGGGAGATTGATTTATATTTGGAGATACGAGAGCATTCCGAACTATTTACGCCACTGCATTGATTAACAATTACAGTTACTTATTCAATATTAGAAATTATTTTGCTTTCAAATAAATAGAACTAGAATTAAAGATCTAAATACGGTCGAAAAAAACTTAATTTATGAATCTGTCGTGATTTATCGAGTTAGTCACTTGGTTGCGAAGGATGACCTCAGCTCTTTATAAAGACAAACTATGTGGGCCTGATGGGATTCAGATTTGGTTATGGGGACAGGTGTAGAAGGACGGCATTTTTTGCCCAGTGGGCGAAACTCAGATATGGTTACGATAATCTTATTTTAGCTATTATCAACGTTTGAATGGACATTTTAACCTTCTTAACTCTTAGATTAATCTATAACTTCAGATTATTATGAATTAATTAAAATTAAATTCCATCTTTTTTTATTAATCTGCATCTTATTATTTTATTATAGGAACCGAATTTAATTTCGAACCCTGTTTATAAAAAGCCTAATGTTTGAATGAATCATCGCTTTATATTTAGGATCTTGAATACAATGAAACAAGTAAGGACTTGACCTATATTTGGACCTATTTTATATTATTTTTTCTATGTTTTGTTTTTTCATATTTAAAATATAAATATGCACTCTTGAAGTAATAATAGATTAGTCACACAGAACGGATTACAAGTAAAGACCCGATACCTCTTAATTTGTTTAATTGGGGATTGTGGTGTGGTTTTCGAAGGCGTCAAATAGCCTCCTACAGGTTTAGTTCATGGTCGGTCTGTTTTATGGAAGATATATACGCCATGTGCTTCTGCTGACCTCGAACAGCCGTAACTCATGAATCTAGACTGATTTGTCAATGTCCTTAAAACCGAGTCGGTGGGAAGGGCACTGCCAAATATGCCCCAGGAAGACCTTAAAGCTAAAGATGTCTTGTCGCTACACCTGGTAAACCATGGTTCGAAGCAATTTAAGATTATACATATATTTATTAATTTTGTGTATGTATTTTCTCTAGAACATATTTTGGTATTTTTATATGCGTATATTCCTATTAGGATGTTCTTTTCTAAATTATCTTATTCCATTTTTGGAAAATTTTATCCATCCAAGTGAGTCTTATCTTTTCTGAGTTTTACTCAGAACCAGAAAGAATTCGCTGGAGGCATTTGGTGAATACACGATTTGGAACTGGCTTAGTCTATTATTATTCTCTCTTCAATAGCCGCATTGTTAGGAGAAACCAGTTATTTTCTTAATTCCAGGGGTTTTTTTGCACCACGCTTTACATGGAGAAATGATAATTCTACTAGAAGGCTTCTTTATCATATGGATAAGGTACTACAAAGTTTATACAATAATATAATTTACAATTATTGGTGCGTTTATTCATTAATGGAAAGATAGATGATATTTGTTTTCCATTCACACCACATTACTTTATACTTTATAATTGAAATACTACTTGATTAAATTACTACGTTAATGATATTTCAGTTTAATCTGAGGTTTTTAAAAAAACTGTAGTTTATAACTTAAGATTTTTTTTTTAAATTGTTTCTTTTTCGGATTGTACTTAAGTAGTGGTATTAATAAGAATAATAGAAATCGTTAAAATAAATGTCACTCATAATATTTGACGGATTTTGAGTGAGATTTGAAATAGCTCTGATGTTCATAAGCTAAAAATAGCATGCCACATGTCAATTCCTATTATATTATTCCAATTGAGAAGTCATATAGAAAATCCAAGAAATTATTTCACTGAAAAAACTTTATAAGGAAATTTTTTCCCGTGTTCGGGTGTATTTTATCACTCCTTATTATCAAGAAATGCATTGGGTCTGAGGAATCCCAGTGGAGATTCTGATGAACACTCTTCGGAATTCCTAATCAATTCAAATAAAACTTTAGTTTAGTCCATCTTCGAATATTTTAGGAGTTGTAAAGAATTTTAAATGAATTCCTCAAACATTTTTAAAAATTGAATACCTTCCTGTTTTATTGATTAGACTTGTTGAAATTGAAGACTTGACTTAGTTTATAATATCGCCGAGCACGCTGGGGCGTGGGTATCATAGTGCACGGTTCTGAACGTTGTGTGGGTTCGATTCCCTGCTGGGTCGGCTAATTTTCATTTCTCGACGGCCCCGGGAAATGAATCTTGACATTCCCACTCTGGTAAGTACGCGGTGGCAACCTTAAGGTAACAGTCAGAGGTTGTCAAAAAGGGCCCGCAGTGCCCACTTCCCGGACTAGTTCCCCCGCTAGTACTTGTAGTTTATAATATCCCTGCCTAAACTTAGAGGTCTTGTCTTGATTCTCTTTGTGAATACAAAGTATCATGTAACGATCGCGAGACATGCCCCATTTCTTTTGCGACACGTTTTTCATTTTGTCCTTTCTCCTCAACAAGCTCCTTGAATCCTCGAGAGCTGTCATCAGTAGGGAGAAGACGTGGGGAGGACAGTGTTTACCAGTGGGCTTGCTACGGTCCAAACTTGGCCAGTTGACAGATCTCTATATTTAGACCGGTCTTAGTTCTGTGTAAACCTTAACCCTGCACATTATACCTCGAAGGCTCTGATGGCAGTAAAGCATGCGCTTTATTATAAGCCAACAGCCATTCTCTTAAATAAGGCTCATTCTCATTCTAAACGGAAGTCTCACGTATTCAAAATTTATTACAAGGCATAAACCGCGGTAATGTTATCTTTCAGACATTTTTTAAAGAATACCCTCAGTGTGCATCGTGTTTAAACAAATTAAGATTGATCCTTAATACTTCAGATCACTAATTAACAGCAAAGATTCAAAAGCATCATTAGTAATTTCTCAAAAATTCTCTTCTTAAAAGAATCTGCTACGTCTATTTCAGAATATTTTCATTTGATACTGGTTTATTAAAAACTATATTACATTTCTTAATTAATTTCATTAATCGAGTATTTTCCGAAAAATCATGATAAATTCTTTTTAATGCTACTCATTATCAACACTGGTCCAAATATAAATTTTTGTATTTATCTATTTTACATACTAATCATAGAACTCTGGCCACTTTAAACTTATAGCCGTTTAAACGACTTTGCCGTGCTACAATGAGTAATGGGGAATGTATTATATCCCTAAGCATTTTAATCTGAAGTCGTGAAACACATGTGTATACTTTTTGTTTAATATTGGGATGCAACTGTGCGGGATTCTGGAATAGGCTTCTGATTAGAACCATCCGAAAATTCTTGGATATGTTGATGGCCTTGACGTAATTGGAAGTAGTTGGAATTACAAGAAGCTTTCTTCGCGCTAGTGAGAAAATTGGACTCATCATAAATCCATCCTAAATAAAGCAAAAGTCTATAATAAACAAAAAGTTTTGCTCAACTAGAGGATGTGGTTTACTTTAGAGCTATACATTTGAAAAAGTAAATCATTTTACATACCTTAGGTAAATTGTGACTTCTAATAATAGTATAGACACAGAAATACTTTTAACGAATTGCTTCCTCTTTGGGTTTCGACGTTAAATATAGGATTTATATGAGGACCCTGATATTCCAAAGTTTCTCGATCCAAAGAGGTCTCGATGGCCGAAACAAGAATGGGAAGATGGAGTGGCCCATGGTGGCTGGATAATGCTGGATGTGCGGACAGCAGTGCAGTCACAGTGCACATCCGATAAAACTGAAAAAGGTTGAATTTGGAAGCCATGACTCACTAAAATCGGTCATGTGAAATTTAAATTGTCTTTCATAATTATTGCATGCATAACCATACGCCACGGATGTCTGTAGTGATCAATTAATTTTCAGAATAATGTCTTTTTGACTCGTCACATATCACATCTGGCCCGAGCGAGATACCTTCCCTTTCATGATAAACTCCAGTCCCATCCGAATCCAGCCTTGCTTCTTCCTCGAATCCTGATAACCCCGCTAGGCGTCTGAAAAGAAGACGGCCTCGTGATCTTCTTACCTAGAATTAAATAGGGAGTGCTGCCACTTGGCAGTGTCTCTTCAAGTCTGCTTTCTAATATGATTTCTAATATGTGCATTTTTACTAGTTGTATTTTTTACACAGTTACAAATTTCAGATGCAAAAAAAAAGCTTTTGTCTTCGACGGAATCGATTAAATTAACTAAGAAGTATTTAACTGCTGATTGCCTTGGAACTATGTAGCATTTTATTATACATATATCTACGAATTTTCTTCTTTAAGACTTAGCCTGAGTGGAAAACCTAGTCCAGCCTGATTGTGGTAGCCATTAAAAAGTGAAACAAAAAAAGGAGGGCGGCGCCTGCTTATCGCGATAGCATGGGAGGGTCTAGAAGTCGAGTGCTCCCAGTCATTGTCCCTTAAACAAGATTAGCAGGTATAACTATTACTGCGAAGTGTTTAATGTATCCCTCTACTTGCCCCTAAATCTTAAAGGTCATTCTCACGCTTACGTTTTGATTGGCTATTAGCACTGTATCCACCCTTCTTTAACTATCCCAACAACTCAACACGCCTACACAACAACAGTAACCTCCATTGCTTAGTTATAATTGTAGCAGATTACGGAATACGATGTGTACGCGTCTGAATATTCAGCAGACATCCTTGTTATGAATCAAATATTTTATGCATTAAAAAGGAAGGAGATGGTCAGGGGTTGCGGTCATAAAAAGGCTAAATAGTGGTAAAACTATTTTATTGAAAGCCAACGTTTCGACCCGACTTTGCAGGTCTTCATCAGGGAGGTGTGTTCCTCTAGGAGTTTCACTTACCACTATTTAGCCTTTTTATGACCGCAACCCCGGACCATCTCCTTCCTTTATAATCCAACGGTCAACCATTAAATATTCATTTTATACATTAGTTCGCTTAAACAGAAAAAAACGTAAGTTTTTGTTCTTCCAGTAATGTTTACGGTAACGCTACGTATCCATAAAGAACTATCTGAAATAAGAAAGAAAGTATATTCAAGGACACTGTGTTCCCTAATTATAATATAAACAATAATTATAAACGTATATTTAATACCAGGATAACTGAATAAATGGAGATAATCAACTACCTATAAAAAAAAGTTATGTTTCCTAATTTGAGCATGTAAGCAATTTAAATAACCAGAATGAAAGAAATCGTTAGGTACCACTAATGTCATAAAGCATTACTGTTACATATCGTCTGCACTATGTTAAAGTTTACGAATGTGTTATGTTAAACTGACTAACATTCGTTAATTTAACTTGGTGCAGATGATATATTCAGAAGACTGATAATGGAGATCGATAAATAGTTGGTGTTAAAAACATCATTTAAGCACCAGCTATCTAGATACGAAGTTTATCGTATGAATGTGGGTGGGTAAGGATTTCCAGAACAAGTAGAACGCATGATAAAAGATTTTTTAAAAGGAGTTCCATGAGAAGGAATTAAAGGTTTGTGTGTTGTGATCTTGTGTTTAAAGCGTGAACAGAAAAACAAGGAGTGAATAAGACTCCTTACATCCTTATATGGATCATAGGAGGCTTTTCTGTTTTAAAGGATACGTACAGATATTCGTCAAGGAAATATTAATATCGGAAACCTGGATGAAGTCACTTTAAGTGGACATACAAATTGGATACGTAGAAACCTGGGAACTTCCAAGATCTGGTGAAAAGTGTATGATACTTTTGTAAATTGCAACCACAGTTGTAATTATGTATAATTCATGTATTAAATGATGAAATTTTCTCTTCTTACTTAGGTGCTTCAAAGAAATACTCCAAATATTCGCTCAGATAACAAAACTGATTCCAGCATATGGTGGACATGATGTCCGCTATGTCCTTCCGTGATTGGAGATGTCTGCTTATGATCTGAAAAAAAAAGTAAATCATTGTTTTGTGGAAATAATTCGAAAGAGGAATAATTTTTATAAGAACCAAAAAATAAAATAAGACGACAATGTTTTGACATTTGGATAAATTTTAAACATTTAGATTTTGGATATGCTTCCAGACTCAAAAATGGGCGAATATAGTCCGAAAATTTGTCAAATGATGAAACGAGTTTAAGTACAATAAAGTGGTTTGAACTTAAAAGGGTTTGAAGTATTCCTCAAAATGGAAGAAATCTATATTGACAATTGATGACCCTTTAAAATATAATATGTTGGGAATTTCATGAGAAAGATAAATCTTTTTGTGATGTGCCACGAGAGGAGATGGAAGTCAGTAGTATACAATGTGTGAGAGGAGGTGTGCGCGGGATGGTGTACAATGGCTACCTGACTCACCTGAGGACCATGATGCAAGGAGGAATACGAAGAGGCTACTTGTGATGCAGCCAACCCCGTTCTGGGTAGGTCGTTTCGCCCCCTGCCAAGCCTAACTCATCGGGTATATTAATAGCGATGAGTTGGAGGAAACCGCTACCCTGCTCTCTCTCTCTCTCTGAGTCACTGGATAACACCTTTATACTGCCGAGGATGTTCCGTGTCGCTCATACCAAACGGAAAGGATGTCACTAGCGACCTTTGGTTTTGAAATCATAATAGAGAATTAGGATTCAATGATCTAAAACAGGGGTCTCCGAACTACAAGCCCGCGGGTCGGATTCGGTCCTCAAGCACCTTCGATCAGGCTTTTCCTAAACTCCCGGAGAAGTTTCTTTGATTACATGTTAACATTTTAAAAACTACTTAAAACATACGAAATTTACTTAATCCTTCAAACACGAGTTTACTGCAACATTTATGGTATGAATAGTTTCTCTTAGAAAGCTTATATCACAACTGATGTATCATTTATAGAACAAACTTCTTTTTTCATAATTGGTAATTGGTTGACTGTTTTGGATAATGAAGAGAAGAATAGAAATAGTACTTATCCTTAATGAACTTCAGGTCGAAACGTCGGCATATGTAAAAATAAATATTATCATTTATTTTTACCTTCCTTTTTGACTGACCACCCCAACTATTCTTCTCTTCATAAACTTTTTTCATGACGAGCCAAGGCCTGTGGGAATTACACTAGGTCTCAATGAGGCAGCCGAGCCAAAAAAAGATTGGAGATCGCTGATCTAAAATGATGGCTGGTCGACTGAATATTTGGATTTCAGTAAGGTAGATAAATAACCAGGCAAAGTTAAAAAATAAAATATTGAGTTATATTTTCATAACAACACGATGTTTTGCCACCAACATGTGGGTCGTCGTCAAAGCTAAAATAGACCAGAGGAATATATATTATACAAAATGGGACAGCTGCAGAATATATAAATAAAAATTTACAAACTGTGAAATATAAAATAAATATGTAAGAAACATGAATAAAAATATGAAAATAATGAAGAAGATAATATAATATAACAGTATATTATATATATATATATATCTGTGTGTGTGTGTGTGTGTGTGTGCGTGCGTGCGTGCGTGTGTGTGAAGATTATATAATAGGTCGATAATGCTAGAATGATAGTGTATCAAATTCATTAAATTCCATCTCACTACCTTTTCTTTCAAATCAGGGATGCCCATTTTGGTTTTTCGCTTATATAAGTGAAACGATGGGTTCTATCGATAATAATGTTATATGTGAAATCAAAGCTGAAAAAATTTGCAACTGAAAATGTTGATTAGTTTTTCCCTATATTCTATAATTTCCGTGATATACATCCTCGAAATTCACTACCTTTGGAAAAAAATTATTTTTGCCTCGCATTTTTATCATTATTTGACTCACGAAATCTTTATCTTCTCATTTTACGAAAAAGGCATGAAGAAGAAAGTGGTTTAGGTAGTAATCGTATGTATTGAGGGGACAGTATATATATATATATATATATATATATATATATATATATATATATATATATATATATATATATATATTATCCTCTCTGTATATATATCCTCTCGGTAAGGTCTCTATCTTTCTTCACATGGCCGCCATTTTGTATTCCAGCGGCTATATGCTGAAAGATGTGCATTTTTCTCATCAGGCCGTTGGATACAGTCAATAAGGACAAACTTTGATATGAAATATGTTACCTTTTTGGCCACGGGCTTCCAAAATAATAGTTTTATACAGAAAATGTTACTGGAACTGATGTCCAACTTAAATATTAGAGAAGATATGGAGTTTATTTGTATTGATGAATGTTTAGTTATGAAAGTATATTTTGTGTTTTTTACAACAGTAAAATATATAAATAAAAATAGCAGCTGTAGAGGCAGAGAAAGATTGGAAAATATCAGAAGCGATAAGAAACTCGGGTACCTGAACCCCTCTGAGGAAGCAGAAGGTAAATAGCAATGACAGGAACAGCTTCCTTCGAGATAACCGCTCTGATAGCTCTGCCCTGGGGAACACCTCAATTAATACTTATCTTTTCCACTGGTTGGTTTCTCCTACAATAAATGCCAAACTTTTTATCTTCCTTAAAGATGTCCCGCGAATTAGTTTTCCTTTGTCGAAAATTCCAGCTTATCGTATAACAAACTTTACAATTTTATTAGCTGAATGGAAATGTTTTTAGTTATGATCGATTTTAATTTTTCTTTGATGAAAATGTCACAGTTTAACAATACTGAGCGGTATTTATCATATGAATTAAATTTCTTAAATGTATTTTTGCACGTTGAAACTAATTACTTTTTTAAAGCTTTTTTTTTTGGTTATTAATTTTATTTATAATGGTTAAGAATATATTGTAGAATGGAAATCAAATAGTAGAAGTTGGTAAATCAATGGTGATAGTACTTACAAATATTTTTTTCTACTTAATTTATATATAGTTTATTTATTTATTGTTTGGGTGGTGCAAATATTTATTTTTACGAATTATTATTTTTC